TCCTCTGAGAGTTCATCTGATGAGGATGATGACTTCAAAGATGATGGCGAAGACTCTGATTATGGAGGAGGGAAAGGTGAGTGAGGGCTGATTATTAATTTATTCTTCAAGTAACCTGGTCTGGTGAGTCTGGTCCTAATCTAGAGATTGAAGGAGCTGCCTCATGCATTTGGTGGTAGTGTTTAAAGGTCCAGTTTCTGCAGTATGAAGTAGCTAGAATTATTGCTAATTCCTTGCTGAAACTGGGATAACCTGACGGTTATGGTACGGTACGTTTGGTCCTATTTAGGCCTAAGGTTTAAACCAAGTTGTGTACTAAAATCAGTTGTAAAGCCGTAGATTATGGTTTAATTGTTAAGTCAATACAGTCATCATTCTTTGTCATAGGATGGGCTGTTAGTCCATCTATGGATGCCCCGACATTTTGCCAGGTTACACTAACAGGACGCCGGTATTTATTTGTAATCCTGGGTCGAAGAGGGACTGAACTGTCTTGCCCTGCAAGAATACAACACACTGAGCTCATCCAGTATTTAAACTTAGATCTCTAACTCTTGATGCAGAATCCAGTGCAAATTTCTACAGACCTGAGTACTAGGCCTAAGTGAAGATTTCAAACCTGTCTGAAAAGTACACCACAATTTTTTCTGGTTCCTGCTACCTATGTTAAGTTGCAAGATAAACATTTTAATTTTATTTTGTGTTTTCTTGTTCTCAGGTGTCTCAAAGTTTATTGGGTATGTAGACCATACGCATCACTTCTTAAACTTTCCTACCAGATAGTTTTTCTTAGCTTTTGAATTTGAGTAGACGGTGAAATGGTTTAAAAAGTATTCTTCGTCAACGAGAAGTCGTACTTATTAACATTAATTTTGTCCTCAGCTCTGAGTCAAAAATACCTTACCAAAATGTGAACTGGAAAAAGAATAGTGTTGTTTTGATTGAGACTCTTCAAAGAATGATAAAACACTAACACATTTTTTTAATTTTTCAGTTGTCCCACAGAAGGCTGTGATGGTTCAGGCCATGTGAATGGCCGTTTTGCCACTCATCGTCGCCTCTCTGGTTGCCCAAGGGTCGCTAGGAACGTGCCTCTTCCAAAAACCCCAACAAAGCGCGAGTTTGGTAAGATATTATTTAGGATTGATACAGGTTAATTCTTGACCTATCTAGTAGAACTTCTAACTAAGGAAATATACCTCTGAATCAAGGCAGACAAATCTTAGAGCAAACTCTTAGCGTGCTCCTCATGCACCTCAAATGATACCGTTGTGCGTGGTCTATTTTTATATTTGTTATGAGAAAAGTGCAGTTGTCTTCCTATGGTATCATCGGCACTCAATATCTCAGTGATAATGTTGTTTTGGTATTGCAGGAGCAGATGGAAAACCCAAAGAACTTCTTAGGTGAATGATTGTCCAGTATTCAATTACGTTAAGACGTTTACCTTTTTTTAAATTTTTTTTTTTTATTTAGTGTTATAAAATCACTGTAAGGAATCTAACTTGTGGTGGCGCTGTTTTTAGCCTACTGGTTTGCCTCCGGCCAGTTGAGACTCTTAATAATGTTATGTTCTGTTTGAATTATTTGTTTCAGTAAGTTATTTGCTCGGCCCCACTAACCTTTGAGCTTTAAACACTGCCGAGGCTAAATAGGGGTTATTGCTATTGTTATTAGAATTTTTTTCCCTTTTGAAAAATAAGAACTTTAGGTTAACTTTAGGTCTTTACGCTAACTGCAGGAAGGATTTGCCCAGAAGGACATTTTCCTCTTAGCGCAATAAGTTTCAACAACTGGAGCAGGAGTCGCCCAAGAATCATCCATGAAATATTGACATTTCTTGTTGTTTATTTTGGTACACAGTTGCCCAACCCCCAACTGTGACGGGAGGGGTCATGTCTCAGGACAATATGCCACTCACAGGAGGTAGGTCACAGTCTCACTCAGTTGAAGTTCATGAAAGCTTTCTGTAGTAAAGGCGAGCGTTTTCCAATTTTACGACTGTTCTTGTTTGGTTCTCAGTTTATCAGGGTGCCCAATGGCGGCCAAAATGCAGCAACAGGAACACCAAGAAGTTAGGTACATGTATGTGTTTGACTTACGCAGTGAGTAGTCTGAGTTTCAGCCGTTACGCTTGGAGCATTGCGTTGATAAGTGTAATCTCTATTCGTTAAAGGTGTCCCACCGTTGGTTGCGATGGAACAGGTCATGTGACTGGCAAGTACGCCTCACACAGAAGGTAGGAAGTAAAGAATGTCGCCTTTGAGGTCTTTGAGCGTTTGTGGGTTAGTAGGAGTACAGAGAACTATGCCTTGCCACGTTTCTGAGCATGATACTGCTGGAATATTACTCCCCCCTCCCCTCCTGGATGGGATATTAACTGGTCAATCGAAGGTTACACCCCCCCCCCCCCCCCCCCCCCCNACGCCAGCATTTTTGCTACTGTAGGTTGTCCCACAACAATTCGTCATCCTGAGAAGGAAGTGCCTTGCCGCGAACAACTCAGTGACCTTGGCCAGGACTTATACACGGACTTGATGACCTAACCTAAGATTCAACATACTAGCCATCAGGCCCCATAAAAGATACAGAAACCCTCTGATGTTAAATCCTCGTAGGTTTAAGTTAAGTGTAACGTCAGTCACAAACGCAGTCAGTCTTAACTCTCCACAGCGCTTTTTGAACTGAAAACTTTGTTGATCCTCGATTTTGTAAAGGCATAAAGTTATTTTGAGCCACTTATACAGGAGTGAATAACATCTGTTCTATCTGTTTTTCAGCCTGTCAGGTTGTCCTCTGGCACCAAAGCTTGCTCTTCAAAATTCTGAAGCCGGTAGGGATTATGTCAAAATAAAATATCGTTGCATTCTTGTAACGTGCTTTCTCGATCTGGAACTGTGAGCTATTTGACAATTATTATTGTGTAAAGTGTGCAGCTGCTACTAATCGTTCACTTTTGCTTTCTCAGGTGGGAGTGGTGCACAGTCTGACAAAAGCGGCCCAATGTGAGTGTGAAGCTAGTAGATGTACTGAGTAATGTAGTAGAGGTTACCAAACTAGGCGCGGTAGCCAAGTGTGATTTCTTCGAACTGTTGTACCGTTGCTCTTGGCGGGTTCGTGTGTAGTAAAGTCGTTCTTATTGTTATTCTCTCGTTCTTGACATGAGTACTTTAATGAATTTATTAAGCCTGGTCTACCTGAGCAATTTTTGCGCGAAATATATTTTCTGAAAAGCTGGCATGTTAAGCTTTTATGTGCCAAATAAAAGTTGTCAGATCCGAAATTCGTTCCTGTGGACGACTCGTCACATAAAATGTGGCTAATATGTTCGAAAACGCGATATATATATATTTTTATTTCGGGGCGGGCGGGAGGGGCGACTAAGCAGCCCCGCCTTGTTTTTGCGTATCTCTGCCGTCCAAAGTCATTACTGGTGCACTAAACTTTGAACTGCTGACAAATATTTGCTGTGCTATCTACACCATCAAATATATTTGTCACATAAAAATTGCTCGTGTGGACCAGGCTTTAGGCTAAGAAACGGATGGTTTAGCTTAGAAAACCTTTTATAACAATCGATAAAAAAAGATTAGTGCTGTACTTCTAACGGCCTTCAATTGGTGGAGCACTGGCCTTGTAAATGATAAATCATGAATTCACATTTGATTCTCAGTGTAGCTAGCTGCGAGTAGGCCCACGTTTGGGAAGCACACGGTGGAGCAGCGAGGCTCCTCCCCGTCGGATCGTTTCGCTCGCGCGTGTGAGCTTGCAGGCTACAGTTTAGGAGACCTACGTCACGATTTGTAAAGTCGTATTTTGTGATGTACATAATTACATTAAAATCTATTAAAACTAACATAGCAGTTTACAAAGGTAGAACAACACCAAAAAAATGATAATAAACCAAAAAGGATAAGATTGGGGAAGATTTAGATGGATTATGAACGAAAAAAACTTAAAAAATTGAACAACTACGATCTAATCTTGTTCCTCCTCAGGTGCCCAACTCCGGGATGTGACGGGACGGGACATTCCAGCGGTCAGTTCAGCACCCACAGAAGGTAAGCGCAGGTCTTGATGACAAGGCAACAGTCTGTGTTCCATTGACTGTTGGAAGGGACTCACCAAGAAGAGTGTGAAGAAAAATCGTGCGTGACGGAAGAGATCGAATACTCTTTGAAATTGTTGCCCTTCACAGTCAACTGGATCTTGTGTTTGACTGGAAAGAAAATTCTCTCAGGACCTAAAGTTGGATCAATTCTTGCCAAAAGTGAAATGGAAGTAGAATTTTTGTTCTGAAAAATTGCTCAACATCTCCATCCCACCCCCCTCAAAACTAGCTTGATTCACATGCCATCCCTTTCCCCGCCATAGACAGTTTCTTGTATGACATCAGTCTCTTCTACACACTTTTTTTCTGAATGTTTTTACTCGCCCGTCAAAGAAACACAGAGGTTTTAAACAAGCTAACCCGCTGGTCTTTGTTACAGTTTGTCTGGCTGTCCGCTAGTTTCTCCTTCCGAGAAGAAAGTTCTCATGAGGCAAGAGGCAGAGTCAAAGTTGCTTGCTCAAGCAAATTCTTTGGAACCTGAAGTCCAGTTGGTTAAAATTCGTTCAGGGAAAGGTAAGGGTTATGATCATCGTAGAGCTATTTACACTCTGTAGTTTAGATTAGGTTGTGTTCAAGGGAGGCAGGTAAAGGTTAATTCTGCAATGAGCCAAGTGGCCCACCAGGCCGGCGCTTATCTCCGGTTTCTTGTAGCACAGAGCGACTAGGAATATTTCTACTCCCTCCTGGATCGGATGCTAGTCCATTGCAGGGTTACCCCTAGCGTTAAATTCGTCGCTACCCATTTATACACCTGGGTGGAGAGAGGTATAGTGAGAGTGAAAAGTCTTGCCCAAGAATACAACACAATGTCCCTGTCCAGGGCTCGATCCCAGACCGCTCGATCCGGCAGCAAGCGCACTAACCATTAGTCCATCGTGCCTCCACACAGGAAGACAGGTAGTAAGGTAACATTGTTCGAGACTTCTGTGCTTTGATTTAAAAAGGATCAGTGCATGCCATCAAGTTTTAGCACGTTTAAGGGAGGTTTAATGACCTCAGCAATAACAGTCTGATTTTGTAGAATAGTACGCGACAAATGACAGGAATCCATCAGGAAATAAGAACGACAACCGACTAAGAGATGACAATGGATTACCATGGGGACATATTTGAAAATATGAAGCTTGCGTTTCAAGTGTGGCTGGGATTTTCTTTTGATTCATCGATAGAGGAAATCTTTCCTGCTTCATTACACTTTTGAAACACATGCTCGGAGACGGGGCTCCTTTAAGAACCAATTTAGACATTTGAGTACTTAGGTGGCTCTGAAAGTATACACTGAAAGTATACACCCGACGTTAGGTAAGTTACACCTTCTTCTAGTTAGTACAAGCCCGGCAGCTGAAGTCCTGATCCTAAACGTGGCTTTTTAAGGAGGAGTTTGCCAGGCAGTCAGTGTGTACAGACGAGTTCTGTAGGGAGGAGTTTACCTTGGTGATGCAGGCAAGCCAGTTCAGTCGCTTTTCAGTTGAATTACGTGAAAATGTAGTGACCTGCTTTTCAGTGATGCTCATTATTTCTTTGGCCACGACAGCTCAACAAGAAATCGAAAAGGTCCGCGCCTTGGACAAAGAGATCAACGTCCTTCAATCGTCCAACGAAGAGTGCGAGAAGCTCAACAAGGAGCTTGACTCCGAGATCAGCCGCTTGGAGCAAAGGCTGACCGTGTGCAAGGAGGAGACGGCAAGCGACAGGCACAGGACGGGCGTGGTCGAGACGAAGCTTGCCGTGGTACAGACGCGGTTTATTGCCTCCCTGTCCCATGTTCAGATGCCCGACATCGGCGTCAAACTCACGTTCGACACCATGGATAAGTATATCGATAAATTGCAAGAAATAATTGAAGAAAATTCTACAGATTATATTGGGCTTATTGGTGAGATTAAAGAGGCGTTATCAGATTTTAAATTTTAAATACAGAAAGAGAGAAAAAGAGTTTTATTATCGCATACCATTGGAATATTATTAATTACTGAAGTCAGGAAAATTACAGATTTTATTATAATACTAAGTATTTTGATGTACGCTTATCAGATTTCTTTTAAAATTATCTGTCATAGTTATAGACCTTTCGAATAGGATTTTTAATACGAAATAATGCCAAAAGATAACGTATTTACTTGTCAGTAGATAACGATTTAGTCTTAATTTCCTCAGTTTTTGGACCTTTCATTTTCCCATGTTCTGGTCTCTCTTCCGTGACTACATATTTGCAGTTTATTCCTAAATTCATATTTAAGTCATATTTATACTCACGCTGGCATAACTTATGTGACTCTGTCCATGTTATATTATTATTTACAATACTGGTGAAAATTCTCTCTCCACCCACTTCTGTCGTGTTCTACCTCTTTCGGACTGTTTGTGACTGCTCGTGGGTTCTCGTAAATGCTCGTAAGTGTTCGTGAATTCTCGGGAATGCATGCTTGTGAGTGCTCCTGCTATTTGCTGATTGGACCAAAAGAATCAGGAACTGGTCGGGGTTTTAGAAAGGCTCGCTCCAGTGACTGTGCAGGTTCCTCCATAAATAATGTCTTTCACTCTTTTGTTTTGCTTTCGCGCCCGCTTTGTTCTTGCGGGGACTGAAGGATGAATGAAAGATTATCCTAGGCAGACGCTCTTTGGGTTCGTCACACAATCTTCCTAAGAATGATTGCGTGATGTGTCCAAAGAGCTTCTGCTTAGGAGGCCTTACCTGTTGTGTGGTGGCTATATTGGAGTTCATTACGGGGCCATCTGGGGAGAGAAATGTTCGGAATCCGCTCGGACACTCGGTACACGATCGGATGCCCCGAGAATTTTCGAGTTCTGTCGACAGGCCCAGACCCCGTCATTTTTCGGGTTAAGACCTCGCAACAGATCACCGCGTATTTAAAATTCAAAATGGCAGCCACAAAATGAAGGAGTCGTCTTTAATTAGTCCTCTGTTTTTGATGTGAGTGCTTCCTGTGCCCAAGGAGCAACTAACCATGACGTTTTCGGGTCAGAAGTACTCCTGCAGACAGAGACTTTTGTTCACTAATTCAGGTTGCACAGGTTCTTCAGGGAACTTTAATTTCTGATTTTCCAATGGGATGGTAACCTTGCCTTTTATGGTTTGGTTTCTTCTCTGGTTATCTTCTCATCTTTTCATAGGCTACATCTGTGTGGCCAGATGTCAGAATCTCATAACCCTTGTATTCCATTTGTGGTACTGTTTTCTTTTTTTCCAAACTTCTTTGCTTCACGTCTTCGAAGGAAATTTAATTGCAATAGACTCGCCGAGTACATTCTGTATTGTTTCGCCCTCATCTTTACCTAGTGGAGAAAGAAATTGTATAAACGACTTTTACTTGTGGATTTATTGTACAAAAATTACACGAATTTATAACCGCTAGAGTCGAATAAAATAGAAAATGGTAATTCAACCAATGACATAAGCCACTAAGGTTATGTGTCCCGGGGGGGTGTACTCCCAGAAAAATTGGGTGGGGATGTGCAGCCTACTTTCCAAAACCCCTTATTCTAGTTAAGACCAAGATCTGTGATTTTCCCTACCCTATGTATGACCTGACCAAAAATTTGATACCCCATTTAAGACCTGACTCTTAAATCATTACCGTGTTACAGACTCGCCTTGTGATCACTTCCTTAGTTCAGAACGATGTTAAAGGAATTGTGTAGGGCTTTTGTTGATGGTCTTACCACTGATGTTGAGAACGTTGCTTTTTCTAAAAACAAAACAAACCCAATTCAAGACTAGAGTGCAAGAACCATCCCCTATTTGAGACCAAAATGTCCAAAATCGATACCCTATGTCAGACCAAAATGGCTAAAATCCATACCCTTTGGGGTCGCCCATACCCATATAGCCCATATAAGGGAGTACCCCCCCCCCTCCGGTATGCATAGTCCTGGGTCTTGTGCCATTGGTTTGACATCTTAATAAAGATCTTAGGGTTAAAAATCAAGTTTTAATTGATAGCCAAAAGCAATTTTTGATTTTGAGCAACGAGATTTTTTTGTAGAAGTACGTTTGTGAAGATGCATTTTATTATGTTTTTTTTAGAATTAATACAATACCTGTGGGGAGCAAAGTGAATTTAATACTTAAATAACAGTTTAGAAATTGGCTCAGAAAAACTGCTATAAATAAATCGCTTCTAAGACCTCTATTTCAACTGTATATATGTTCAAAACTTCCGATTTAAATTAGAGATATCAAAGCACTATTAAGTAAAGATTTCTCTAATATATTATTTATTGAAAAGCTTGTTGATTATTCCTGTCGCGTGCTACTCGTGAAAACTCTGACAAGAGACAAGAGAGCTCGGGGGACACCTTTACTCCCTGGGAAATAAAAATTATAAAGTAAATAACAATTAAAGAGAGCAATTAGAACTTGATTCTTTAAAAGTGTTGTTTGGGGCTACGTTTTTATCTATTGGTAAGTTAGTCGCTTGACGCCTGCTTGTGGAAATCGGACACGTTGTGTGACGGAACCACTTTAGCGTGACTTGCCGCACCCATCATGTTATTTGTCACGCAATAGTAACGTTTTGGCAGCCAGGTGTAAACGGAACTCTTGTCATTTTTGGCCCAAAGTACAAATAATCTATATAGGAAAATTAATATATTAAATACAATGAGGGAAAACGTAAATCGATCTTCAGTTGCATGTTCAGACTGCAGTTCCTGTATTTATTGCATTTTTTTTCATATTTAACATGTTGGCGTTACGCCGCGTTCTTTGTAAGAGGAAACGTGTACTGTTCGCTTTATGGATGGATGGCACCTTATTCTGAGACCAATTGCCCATTCATTCTTGCTTTACACATCGAGAAGGGTTTTTGGTTTGAAATCCATTGATGGTTTGTAATATTTGTCGAGGATTCCAGTGCGTTTTAGTTTGTTTTATTTAGGTTTCCAATTCTATTTTGTCAGATCAAATGTTTTGTTTATGTTATTTATGTTTATTTATTCCTCTCTTGGAAAGGAATCTGCCAAGATTAGTGCTTTTTCAGAAACATTTGATTAGGGTTTAAAGGACCAGTGACAGTTCTTTTTGCCTTTTTACCAAATCCAATAAAACCACATTTAGACATTTTTTTATGTTTGAAAATGAAGCCAAGTAACATGAGGTGTCATTCAGTCCAGGCGATCCTTTTTCCTGTGTGCTACTACTGCTCTCCTTCACGGCCGTGACTCAGGCCGTCACTCAACGCTTGTTGCGTGACGATCTACACGGTAACGGCTGCGATGTAGACTAGTTTAACATGTGCGTATTCATCGGTTTTAGGCTTGGAAACAAGTTGCCGGTGTGTCCGGTAACCAAGCTGTCCAGGAATAATCAACAATTGCAGTACTTGCTGACAAATTTTTAAATAAATATTAGTAATATATAATTGACTGTTTTATTTCTGTCACCTTTCAAACCCCGTGGTCAACATCTAATTTCTCCGTACTGTTCTAATTCATTTCTATCATTTTCCTTAGGAGAATTTGGTTTCTACTGGTTATGATTTTCCTGAGATGATCGGATTTTTCGTCCTCATAACCTTGGCTGAATTTGTTTTAAATTGCAACGAGTTCAGAATCTAAATTATTTTTATTTTTTCTGTTTTCTTACATTCTCTACAATAGACCTTAGGAGAGTTTACCTTCAATTCCGCTTTTCTTGAGATGATTGCGTTATTACTTCTCATGACCTTTGTGCCTAAGTTGGTAGGGAGAAAATAGACTTTGATCGCTGCTGGGGATAAAAGGTAAAGAACCTCGGATAATTAATCCAGTGCTAAAGATATGTATTTTATAGTCAAAAGAGAAATAAAGGAAAAGTAAATCCAAGTGAGTTGTGATCTGTCATTGAAATCCGGGAAGAGGACAAGGTAACTAGGGTTAGGCAGGGGAGCTTTTGTTGCTTCCCGTTAGGAGAGGAGGTGGGGTGGGTCGATAGGCAGGATTAACTTCTTCATTTTCAAGACTTCGCCCCTGGGAAGGATTGCCAGTAGTTGAGCTTGGTACTTTGGAAGATTGTAATGCTAATACCTCTAAAGAAATTTCCCTTTCCTTTTAATTCCCCTCAATTTGAACAAATTTCTACAAGTTGTTGCTAAATGTAACGAGTTATAGTATAATTCCAAAGTGACGGCCCCCGTTACTTTCAGATTTAGCAGCCAAAAGGGGCCGCTACTTTCGGGTAGCCGTTACTTTCGGATGGGTAAAAAACGTTTGTGCGATAACAGTCGTTTTCAGACAAAGCGGACGCATAACAGATGAAATTAAAAGTTCCATTTGCGTGTGGTCCTAACTACCCACATAAACAAAGCTGACTGTATAAACAAAAAAGGTCCCAAATGTTGCAACTGATTACACTACAGTATCGTTTGACTCTGCTGCTAAACAAATACCGCTTATAAATCATAGTTTCAAGAAAGATTCAGTTACGTTGGAATTGAAATCACAAATAACTCTTCAAGTTGTTCAGTCCTGCAGTCAGAGTGCGCTTGAGATCAGAGAGTTTCTCTTTAGTGACGTCTTCAAAGGGCCGCTACTTTCGGGGGGGACCGTTACTTTCGGGTTTCAATAGGATGGTAAAATATTAATGTTAGTTTCGGGGAGTCGTTATTTTCGGGCGGGCCGTTACTTTCGGAATGCTACGGTATTTTGAGGGTCACGGAGGTGTCACGACGTTTCTAGTAACAATGCGATACTCGCCCCCAGTATTCCCTTTCTGTGAAGAAGATCACCAGCGGGCTTTCCAGAAGACAAAGGAAATTGGAGATAGGGACTTCCTTGTCCCCAGATTCCTCGATTTGGTGTTGACGAAGGGATCGGGGACTCTGGGACGAGAAAGCGCTGTTGTAAGAACCCGGATGTGAGGAAAAGCCCTGACTTGAACGCAGTAACGAAGAGAAGCGTTTTACTCTTTGTTCCGTAAAGTGACAAATTTATCAGCACATGACAGCTGCCGGAAAGAAAAATAGGATCATTTTTTTTTTCGTAAAAATACATCCGGCGTGCGAAAACAAAAATTCAATCATCGAAATAAGCGCGTTTAGAAATAATTTTACGAGAATTTTTGCGGTCGCTTTTTACCGCTCCGAAATTTAGTTGAACAATTTGCGTCGATTCCCATCGTTAGCGGCAGGTGCCCTGATAAGTGTAAAAGTGCAAGCTCTTATGTTTGTTGTGGCAATTAGAGATTTTCGTCAAATCAGTTTCCGCAAGTGAAAACGTATTAATCTCGGATTGTCCTAACACCTCCACATTGGTACGAAAATGCAAATTTGACGTACTGTATTTTTTTTTTTTCCTTTCGCCGAGCATTGTATTTGTCAGTGACTGCTCGCGGCGCGTGTGATTTGGTTGTGATCGAGCGGTGTGTGAGCGGATCACGACGTCTCCATGCCGTTGGACTTTCCGCGGTATTACGGTAAGAAACCCTTTAAACGCCATAAACCCAACAACAGCACAACTGCGGTGGCTGTGAAATTCACGTTTTAATGGCTTGAATGGCCAAACGCAATTTTTAACGCAGGTAATCTTGTAAGTCATAAATCAAGCGCCAATGAAGCCATAACAGTGTTAGATATGCTGAAAAAAAATTTGAAGTTCTTTTTAGTGGACATGTTGAGGCTTCACTAGTGCCTGTATGAAACCAATCTTCCAGTCTCTTAAAATCGTTTCGTGATATCATTTTTCTTTCCATTGATTTTGTTGACAATTGTCAGGAAACGAGACTGCACTTAGTGTATAGGTCTGAAAATATTACTTTTTGTTTATTTTTTTTTTCTTCCTCTCCTTGTAATTGTCCACTCGCTAAATTTCCATCCAAAGACTTCGGCGAAGTCTTGTATTGATTTCAAATTTTTTTTTTTCCTCTGCGTTCTACATAAGAGCGCTTTTATTAATTTTGCATTGGGCAAAATTTTTCGTCTTCACACGATTCTTCTTCGTGTCTCAAGCGATGGTATTTTTTGATTCTCTTCTGTTATCGAATTTACATTGGCTATCCGAGTGATTATCTCCAATACCGTGAACGGTATTAAACTACTAAGAGATAAGATTCTGTAGGCCTCCTGCCGACACAAAAGCAAATCCTTGAAAAATGTCAAATTTCGCAAAACGCTGCGTATTTTTTGTTTAGCATCATTTTTGAATCTATTTAACTTCCTGTAGAAAAGGCCTCTGAGCGTAAAGAGATAAGATAATCTCTTTCGGTTTTCTGTACTGTGACGAAAATGCGAGTATTTGTCAAAATCAAAGAAAATGAGAAAATATAAAATAATCAAGATTATTTATTATAATTCGGATGTGAAATGAGAAAAACCATTGAGCGGAAAAAGTTAATGTACTTTGCTTTAGTTGCTGTAAGGTGTGTGTTTGGCTTAGTAAACTCCAACGAAAGGAAAAACTGGGACAAATCCAATTTCAAAAGCTAGATGAGAGGGAAAGGAAACAATATTCCTTCATAACACACCAATGAAATGCTTGAAAAAAATTAAAATCGGTCAGTGCATGGTATGAAATACTAGTTATAAAAATGATGTTAATTTTGTCAAGAAAAGTGTTGGTGTTGCAATATACGCAAATCAAATCAAAATCTCGCGGTAGATAATTTATTTTTATTTGCCATCTCGACAGCGCCATATTGGCCAGGAGAACAAGATATAAATATGGCGAAAATGTCGAGTTCTGAGGAAACAAAAGAAGCTCTATTTATTCATGATGACTTCAGTTTAAAATGTGAAAACGGAGGTTTCACTCTGAAGACGCATCAAATTTTTTCCGAAGGAATATCACCGGTCATTTTGACTGAATTTCGGTCTGCAGGGAAATCACAGGATTATCGTAATTCCATCGTTTTCGAAAAGTTCCGTTTTCAAAATGTTTTCCGTCCACACTAAAGCGCAAAGCCGGCGTTTTCAGATTCCTCCGGTTTGAAGAGCGTTTTCGAAAAGCTCCGTTTTCGTGACGGATTAGCGTGGACGGTAGCCTAACCTTAGAAATAAAGCTGCGTTTTCAAATTTCTCCGGTGTAGTGTGGAGAGGGGGCCTTAGTCTTGTTTTGAGACAATATCGAAATCTTAGTTCTTCTTAATTATTGGTATACACCTCTTTTAATAACGTTGGGTGATTTTGCTGTTACATCAAGTTAATGCTCGGTTGATGATTTTCTTTATTCTCACCACCTGCTCACTGAATAATATAATGGCTTTGTACGGAGAAATAAGATGTTGATATTCTTGAGATTCATGGTTTGTCACGTTTAGACTTTCAAACGACAGAGAAACGCAAACTGAGAACTTCACTTTGTTTAAGAATTCGTTTCCTATATTAATAAACATTACCTGTTACGGAACTGTTATAAGATGAAATTAAAGTTTAAACATTGCCGGAGGGAAGTAACAAGGACAAATAATATTTCTGTCGTACTTTCTTTGGACGCTCCAGTTAATTTGTTCCGGACAAAAACAATTCTGTTGTTCTTGAGTCCTATCAACTGAAGTTTTTCAAACCTCGATGATACTGAGGGATTAAACCGTATTTGTTGCGCTATGAAATTGATCACTCTTATAAAGCCATTTCATTACTTAAACATGGTCAGTCAGCCAATCAGAATATAGTGAAGTCATCTTGGCTAAAAACAGGAAGCCCTTTGAGTGTTAAGCACTGTTAATTTCACTCACTCGGAATCAATTTCACGAATATACTCTTTCATATGTCAGCCATGTGTATCAATGTTTCGTTGTTGCTTTTTTACATCAAAGGTTTCTTTCTACAGTTTACAGATACGGATCCTCGTTTTTTCCACTTCGATTCATGTCCCGCGCGCTTCGCGCTTAGGCCATAAATCGAAGAGGAAAAAACGAGGTCCGTAACTTACAGTACGAACCTCGAACTCAGTTAGTAAGAGGTATTTATATTCCAGTTGAACAATATGTTCTAAAAGGCTAGATTCAATTGTGATGAATGTCTTAATCCTCGTTAAATCTTCTTTAAAACGTACAATGTTTTTAGTGTCTGATGGCAATCCTCATATTTGGTAACATTCAGAAACTTACAACCACATTCGTATATCTCTGCAAAAAACCTGTTTTAGAACAAGTTTTTTCCACGCATTTCGGCCATTTTTTTGATATAATAGTGCTGAGTGTTGTTTATTGCTGGGACTTTATCAAACTTCGTTGAGCTAGATCTAACGACGGTCGCTCTTACACGAATAACCTGCCAAATTCAAGTTAAGGTTTCTAAAAATAACTTCACTTGAAGACACTGCTTCGCAAATATGGACCACAGAGATACTCTTGGTGATGTTCTCTCCAGGTTTATCGTATCCTTTAAAGTTTTAACCAATCAGCGATCTAAATAGTTCTTGTAAATTGTTCATGTAGCTGGCGTAGCGGATGAAGACATGCTCGACGAATTTCTTGTGGGCAGAAGAGAGCTGGATCACGGACAAAGCTCAACTATGGATGTCCGAAGGTACGAGTACAAATGACAGTTATATTACCCTTCAAATATCAACTGGGATCTTTTCGTTGAAGTTGTCAGGCTCGTTTGTTGGTTGATTGGTTGGTTGGTTGACCGAATGACTGGCTGACCGACTGGCTGACTGGCTGCCTGCCTGACTGACTGACTGACTGACTGACTGACTGACTGACTGACTGACTGACTGACTGACTGACTGACTGGCTAGCTGGCTGGCTGGCTGGCTGGCTGGCTAGCTGGCTGGCTGACTGGCTGGCTGACTGGCTGATCGACCGATTGACCAACTTACTCACTGACAGAAAGACAGAAAGATTAAAATATAACGAAAGCACCATTTTTAAGCTTAGGTTAAACAAACCTTCAACTTTCAATGATTACGAGGGCTGTAGTGAACATCTAATAAGCCTCAAAATGAATTTCTAAGAGAGCAGAAATATGCATAGAAATGTTAGCCAGTATTAGTTGCAGTGTCTTTTCAACAGAATAAGTCGCTGTAGAGGCTTTATCGGGTGGTAATGCTATGACTCTTGTTAATTCTAGATTTCTTAATGTGAAGTACCATCAAGCTTCAGTGGGAAAATTCAAGAAAGTCGCAGCGGTGTCCACAATCGCTTTTGTCCTCATCATAGTCATGGTCTTCACCTTTGGCTCTCCTCCCACGAAGAAAATTGCAATGAAGACGCTTCCCGCGTCAACAGAAGCCAAAGAGCCTGGTGCCGAGAAACACCGACACTCCTTCGTGCTGGCCACGAATCCCGACATGCCTATCGATCTAGCACTCAAGTGCAACACATGCGCGCTGGTGAGTTCCTCTGGAATGCTGCTGGGCAGCAACGCGGGCTCGCAGATTGACTCTGCCGATTGTGTCTTCAGATTAAACTCAGCGCCCACGCTTGGCTATGAAAGAGATGTCGGAAGTAAAACTACCGTTCGTGTGGTCTCGGTAACAGGTTTGAAGTCTTTGATCAGAGATGCTTGGCAGAAAACGCTGGCTTCTTTTGAAGACTTGGACTACATGATACTTCTAGGGCCAGAAGAATTGCTGTGCGAGAATTGCACGCTTACCAATCTGTATAAAAAGTTCGCGGAATACCTTCACAACACCGAGCTTCTTCGAGTCAGGCAAGAAACATATCAGAAGGTCAAACAAGAGTCAAGGAAACTTAGTATTAAATATGGAAGGTAGTGGAATCTCTTCTGGCCTATACACTAACCTTTCTATTGTTTGGTTTTCTACTAAGCTTATTCGCATGTTTTTGTCTGTTATTTTCCCTTTCCCATAGCGCAAACTTCACCTTGTACCGGGATCTTACTAACTTGACATAATGAACACCTTGCCTGCATGAATACTAGTCTTTTAATCCAGAGAGAATTCAAGATGGCGGATTATACGCCGGTTTTATTTTCTGCCTTACCGCTGACAAGGTTCCTAGCTGTTTGGTTGTGTGTCGCCCACCCTTTAAAGCATCTCAATCACTGTATTTTGAATTATTTTGGTCACATACAAAAAGCAACAAAGAGATAATAACAAACCCTAAAGGAACAAGGATGGTTAAGGACGGAGAGAATTAACTCGGATTACAAACGACGAACTTGAAAAATTTAGACCAAACTTTTCAAGATGAACAAACCGTGACGTAGCTTCTTTAACATTTTCGCCTTCTCGTCCGCTCTTTTGTTGCGCTATAAACTCGAAACAACAACTTTCCAAACAGTTCTGGTGTAAATACTCTGGTTTTCGCTGTATCTTTATAGGCAGGACCTTCCAATCTCTACAAGATTTTACACAATGAGTCTCGTTCAACAATTTTGCCCTCAAATCAGAGTATTCGGCATGGAACTGGAAAACCCCTGTCAAAGGTATGTCAAATAAGTTTGAATTACAATATAAAACCAATTGAAAGGCTAACCGGACGGTTGAAAAGAGTACAATGCAGTGGCGGAACCAGACCTTTAGCTGTCGGCTTNGGCTCCTCCCCTAGATCCGCCACTGCAATGCCTACCATAGCGTGTTTAGGTCAGTCAAACCCAATTACTGCTACAAAGGTTTGTCAGAAACTTAATTTGACTAAACTGAAAAAAAATGGCAACTAAAGTGAACTAAAACGAAGTGAGATGAAAACAAAAAAAATGCTATCTTCAGCTAAATTGCGGAGTAAACCAGATTATCGTAAACTTCCCTCAGACCTCACCCGTCTCAAAACCATGAAGAAAAAAAACATTAGTAACAAAAACGCAACTTTTTGTATAATTTTAGTGGTACTTTCGTGGAAAAATTTAGTGCAGATCATTCATGTCGAGCTGTTAATGTCCATATCACTTCAGGTAAAATTTCCTCCACCCCAAGGTTTCCTTCACGTTAACTGCTCACGGTTGTTCCTATTACGCGTGTCGAAATTACTTTATGTTGGTTTCATTCGTTTTAGATCGAGAACCATTCCTCTGTTCTACTGGGTCCCAGACTCTTGGCGGCACGAATGTTTGAGTCGCGAGGGAAGAGTTCAACAGCAAGTCTTGCAAGGTCTGAAAAGACTTCGACAAGAAAGCGAAATCTTCAATTCTTGGGCTCGGCAGTATCACATTGAGTTCTTTTATCCTTCTCAAAAAGTCACATGAATATTTTGAACAATAAGAAACCTTTATTCGTTTGTTTCTTCGTTTCGAAAGACTGTATTCCACAAAGTCGTTCGACGTTCGTTCTCATCGTCACACAACGGTTCTCCATCACCCTGTCACGCAGAGTTTTCTAGTCACAAGTGTTATATGAAGCCTCTAACTGAACGTTTGCGACAAAAGGCTGAGCTATGTCCCCGCTTCAAGTGAGTTGAGTTTTAAGTTGAATGGTTATTCATTAAACTTAAATTTCGGATCAAAGCAGAACCACTGACATCACGCACCGATAAGAACTTCATCGAAGAACTCGGTTTATGTCTCTATTAGTTATTTGGTTAATTTCAAGACACATTAAAGTCAATGGTCTGTCAAATAAACTTGTTAAAGTTTTTGTCCCTTTCTTGTATTTTGTACAAGGTTGTGATGCCTGTATTCCTCTCTCCTCTCTTCGTCTACTACTCTACTCTACTCTACTCTACTCTACTCTACTCTACTCTACTCT